TTATTTGTTTCCATTGATTTTGTACGTATGTTAATTTTTGTTTTGCTCCCTGTGTAATGATTTAAATGTTATCTATATTTCTTGCATTTTTTTATTATAAATTTCCTACTTCACTATCTGTGTGCCTCTATGAGAATTCCTTATTCTCATCAATTGTAAAACCTCCTTTCTGTCTGGCCTGCTCAGTGATAGCACTAGCCCCCTTTAAGCATCAGATGACCAAAATCTTTCACTGACAAGATCACTAAAAGTCTGAGAGCCATTCCATCTGATGTGAATAGTGGAAACTGTTCCTGTACCACTCACTGTTAACAGGGACATTCAGGTTTTCAAATGGTTGGTGTCCCTTTCAATCAGGGTTAAAGAAACCTCTTCCAACAATGTGAATTGTTGATGTGATTTTAAAATAATCTGGTTTCTCCCCTCAGCAACGGAGAAAGTGAATGGAATGTATAATCAAAACTTTGTAAAAACCTGTTGAGGCTAGTGACATTTTCCTTCGAAACAATGCTAGTTGCCGTGGACTGATTTATCTGCCATGTGTGAATTGGAGAAGTATATGCAGTGAGGAAAAGGCTTTGTTGGATCAGAGTAGATAATTGGGATTATAAGATAGGCTTGTTGGTGTTGAGAAGATTTTACTGCTATAATTTGTGAACAGGATAATAGAAGTACAGAATAAAAACAGTCCCCCTGACTCTCTAGACAAGGTCCAAGATTACATTAATTGTTGCATTTTCTAGCTCTTTCTTATTCATATGTGGAAAGAAAAATCATTTTCATACAAAACAGAGGGATCAAAATAAGAAAACTTGAGCTGTCACAGTGAGTAAATGCACATTGTCCCATCGCAAAGTCATAATTTCACCATATTCTGTGGCGAATTCCGAACACACTGCAGTGCGAAAGCCCTCAATCCCTACATACGAGGTGAACAGGATAAAGCACAAAGACATTTATTAAACCTTTCGATTTGGCTGAAATTAACAAAGCTTTTAAAATGGTAAATAGAAAGGATTTAGTAATTAAAGTTATTGCATTTAACGAAGTGTGGAAAGCTTATTGATTTACTCAAAATAGTCAGCATGCCTGGGATAAGTGGCTCCTCTATAACTGACTTTGTCAGTGATGGGAATGCTTGTGGAAAATTGCCAAAAGTGAGAGTGTGGGGACTGTACATGGTGGTGCAGGGCCTTCACATTTCAATTCCATCCTCTATAGTCAAGACTGAAGACAGGTTTGAGGCCATTACCCCTGACACTGCAACATTCAACCTCACTACACTGTCCTGTAAGATACTGGTGATTCCCAAAAGGTAGGAAAGTAAAGTGAGAGGTTGGCCTTTCTTTTGAATTCTTGAAAATCGAATGCAGAAGTCCTCAGCCTCCAAGGTCACCTGCGTACTCTATCAGATAGGGGAAAGACATGTACTGTGGACTGTTCAAAGAAAACGGCAGGAAAGAAAAATTCAAAATGATTCTTTCCCTGAAAAAGGATAAAACTAGAAATCTCACTGTACATTATTTTCATTGCTATGTCAAAGACCAATTTAATTCAACATTAAAAACTTAACTTCATTACAACTGGATGATTAAAAGATCATTTGTTTCTACCAATAGGAATTTATGTATGTAGGCTTTACCTAAACATTTACTTTGGTTAAAAATACAGTTGTGCAAGCGACGCTTGTCTGTCAGAACAGTTCTACCAAGTTACATTACTCAAGATGCAAGTTGTTTTCATTTGTAATCTGTAAGCAGCCAAACACTCAAAACCAATGTACTATTTTCTGCAGAGATAGTAGGAACTGCAGATGCTGGAGAATCTGAGATAACAAGGTGTAGAGCTGGATGAACACAGCAGGCCTAGCAGCATCAGAGGAACAGGAAGGCTGACGTTTCGGGCCTAGACCCTTCCTCAGGTCTCGGCCCAAAACGTCAGCCTTCCTGCTCTTCTGATGCTGTTTGGCCTGCTGTGTTCATCCAGCTTTACACCTTGTTATCTCAGGTTCTCCAGCATCTGCAGTTCCCACTATCTCTGC